GCTGTCACCTAATTTTCAACAGATTAGAATCCAAACTTCTGTGCTCTAATTCATTTAGCAGATAGATATCTAATATTTATAAGTAATTATCTCTTTGAAATTTTAGCAGTCACACAATTTACTTCAGATGAAAAACTGTACCCTACGCTATAGGCACATCATCAATATTTTTATTATCAGCATATGTTTTTGAAGTGGTATATTAAATACTACAAAGGTCAAATAGATCTTACTCAAACATATCATAATGGCGAAAGAGAAACAGAGAAGAGTCCTAACTTGATTAGCTATCTTGCCACACTCAAAGTAAAAGAAAAAGAAAAAAGGATGCACATAGCTCTAAAATGTATAATTCCCAATCTTTACAGCTCCAGAGTTCTCTACGCAGGTTATACAAGGATGGCAACAATGGCATCCTAATGTTGTAAACATCCAGATACTACCTCAGGCTTACAACAAGAGTTGTATACATCATTTCTCACAAAAATTTAGTTCAAATTATACCTTACTATAGACACTTTCTCAGGACATCAACAGAAGAGGACATGTCCTCACTGACACAAAAGCCCCCAAAGATCCACGGTTGAAAGACGTTATTCTATATTCACCTTTTACTGCAACTTAAACACAATTGAAATTTCAAGAGCTTTAATTCAGCCACACATTCCAGCAAAACAAAATCCCATGCATTTGACATGTTTAACGTGGCAAGGTTGTTTCAACAATTCAAGTGCACTCGCATAAAAATCTACGCAGGAACAATAAGAATCGTACTCACCATCACCAACAGCCATTACAGAGTGCAATTGCTTTCTCAAATGATCCAACTTCAATCTGAGTGACTATATGTGCCTGCGCCACTCTCAATCCAGTGCAGCGTGAAGACAGACAGAGCACTGTGTGACCCAGTCAGATCTGCAGTTCTATACTGCAATAAGCAACAGCTGCTATGCCATTTCAAAATAGAAGTCCTGCTTCTTACAGGAAAGTCCTCACATGCACTATAACCACCCTCATTCCTGCTTAAACCAAATGATGCATTCACCATTACATTCAGATTTCTTTTCTTCCCCAGCTCTCCACTAGCTGTGTGCCTTTAATGAATGGCTGCCAGCCAATGAAAGCCATTCCATAGGGACTTTAAATGCAGTCATCACAACACAAGGCATGTGTTTAGACTTTCTGGTTACATTCCCTAAAGATTCGTGTGTAATGATGAGTGGTCACATGATCCCATGATGATCTGATTTACATATCTACAAACAGAAGATGTGTGATATTTCCCTTTAGTGGGAGGGAGAAATCTTTTCAATCTCCTATTGTATACAACCATGGCTGGCTGCTGTAAACAAATCACGTCAAAGGCAGGCTGTCAAAGGCTCTACTGTTCAAAGAAAGCTGTGTCCCTTTACAAAGATTGCTTCTCGTAAAGGCAGTAACAAAAAAAAAAGAAGAACAAACCACAGATCCGAGACAAGTCTGTGATGTTCCTTTTTGAAACAATAGTTTCATTTCTCATTCACACACAGCAGTCAAATGCAAGCACTTCCCACAGGAGTTTTGCAAAATGCATAAAGGAATGTAGAACACAGATAGGATTAAGACATTTCACAGTCTCTATTCAGCCCCTATTTTTGGAAAACATTTCTATTTTCTTCCTACCCCCAATTAACAAATGTGACTTGATCCAGACCATTTCTTTGGAAGGGCTTTTAAAAAAATACTGACCAGTCCTATTAATCCATATAGATTTCTCAGTGGGAGGGAGCGGAACAGAGCAACTGGCTTCAGAACTGTTAAGACTCTGTTTCAAATTCATTCTCAATCACAAAAGAATAATCGTAGGATTGGCACTTTGTCCCTGCCTAATCTACCCCCAATCCCTGGAGAATAGGTAGGTTAAAAACAACAACTGAATATTTAAGCACCACCAGATAGCACTGGAAACAAAAAATCACATTGTTCGTCTCCCAACATTGGACAACCACATCAAAGACACAAGTTTCAATTCTCTGATCATCTATCTCTCCTCAATATGGCACCAGTATCCTAGAACATAACAATTTTTCTTCCCATTTGGTGTACCAAAAGCACAAAACGAAGTCAGATTAGAAAAGGGTTTGAATATCTCCCCATAAATATAGACAAGAGAAAAAACATGCATTCCAATGTAATTTTTACATAAGTAAAAGCTTCCTTTGTTCTCACTCCCCTTATACCCCTTTCAAAGCAACAGATCATGAAGTTCCCATCTTTCCGGGCCAGCCCAGTTCTCATGGCTACAACATCTACTGCCTCCATTCATTACCAACTGGGATGATGGGGTAATACACTACTGACAAGTCTGACTGTTCAGATTTTTCTTCTGAAATATATTTCTGCTCTTAGATTTATTAACCATGCAACAAGCCTTGGACACACTGCCTTTCAACATAGGAAGTACTTTTCTCTAGTTATCAGACTATAAAACTGGCCAACTACCTAATAGTTATATTGTGTCCATCAGATAAGAAATGCACAATAAATACATACAAATGTATGTAGAATAAATATATTGAACACCACAGCAATCAAATGTATCTTTAATAGTAAAAAAACAGCAGTGGAAAGTAGTTAGTAAAAGGTTTGAAGCTACCAAAGGGAAAATGTCAGCTGATTGACCCTCTGAAAAAATCCAGTATTATTTTCACTTGAAATGCTTTAAGCAGCCAAGTGCAATTAGTCTTCTATTGTGTAATAAGGTTCAACATGCCAACTCATGTGTATATGGCTAAAAGCAATGTCTAAAACTAGTGATGTTATTCATCCCAACAATGGCTTTGGTTTCCTGATTTCTGTTACTACTTGTGCATATTATTCATAGTGCAATGGCTGTAGCAAAGCTATATAATTTATGAGCTGCTAGTCCCATGACATTTCCATAGTAACTGTAACTGAAAGGGGGAAATGGTGGGGGGGGGGGAGAGATGTGAAGCAAATAGGATCTACACAACAAATGTATATGGTGCAAAACTGATATTTTTAGTGTTTGTTTGGAATTATGTAATACTAAACCTTCCAAGTCTGAAACCAAAGATTTATATGCTCTTCCTCCACAAATCTAAATGTTTACAAAATATACATACATCACAAGACTAGACAAGCTGACCACAGATGAGCAGAAACCCCATTTGATATTACTTAAATACTATAAAGAGAACGAAACACTAACGATTTAAACTATGATTCAAAATCAATTGTAATCTCCTTTTACAACATTTAAAATAGCATAATTTAGGAATTCTCTCAAATCTTACAGAAGGAAAAGCATTTATAGAATTGAACCTCCAAGAATAGGCATTCTACAAGCTCTGCTGCTGTCTGCAATGTCTGTTTCCATGGAAATGGTTGTTCATTTGCTAATAAATAGCAGAAGCTTAACACACCTCTTGTTTTCAAGAGCACCACATCAATTTTCATGAGGTTAAAAAAAATGAGAGACAGCTGACAGCCTTAGGACTTGAAAATATCTGAAAGCCACACCACAGGTACCATGAAGCTTAAAAACATCATCCAACATACAGATCTTGCAAATGAAGGTTCTTAGTACAGTAAAATTTAGAGTATATATAGCACTTTTTGCTTATGTGCAAAATATCTGTTTGTGAAAATGACCAACATATGTAAATTATAATGGAAATTAAGCCTGCACGCATAAAATAAATAAAGACGCCTTTCTTAGTGGGATGTACTAGTAATTCTCTCAGAAACATTGCTAGATCTCATTCAAGTAAATATTCTGAAAAGAGATATGGCCTGATATAAGTACAACTTTTGTTTTGAAGGTAATTATTTAAGAGAATGGTATATAGTAATACAATAAATAGTGGCAAAGGCATGTCAAGACTTAAATTCTCATCATTTACACATAAAACCACATGCCTCACAATTTTTAAAAAAATCTTAGAAAAATAGGTTTAGATAGTATTAGAAAGGAAACAGAAATGAGAAACAGTATGAATGTCTCTCACATGATGACCACTGAACAAAATAATGAAAACAAATGGAAGATTTTCTCATTATAGCAAATGAAACATGGAAAAAACAATATGTGATCAACATATCAATTAGGAAATCACTGATGAATTAATCATACAATATTTCCTCTATCCAAATATTCCTTGAGAGTCACATTTAAATATGAAATGAGTTACTCATAAAGAAAGTCAATATGGGCAAAAAGTCAATGTTACTCTCAGAGGTGCAAAAGAGTAAGAGTCAACTGGAACAAAGCACTCTATTTGCTATTGACCAGTATAATTTCATAAACCCAGACTACCAGATCATGCTTTGGCCCTGTACTAGCCTTAAAAACAATCTGATTTGTGTGTTAAAATGTTGCAAGAATTCCACATCAAAGCTTCAGTGACATTAGCAAGAAACATTTTGTAAGAGAAACACTCACAAAATGATGCTATATACTATATTTGTTCATTTCAGTTAGTATTTAATGGAATTAAATGTTATGAGATTAAATGTTATGAAATCAGAAACAGACTAAACTTGAATTCATAAGTACTCAAAATCCTTAAACAAGCTATGCCTCTCAATGCCCATTTAAATTCAATTACTTTTGACTCTACAATCACACACAATATTTATTATTTATTTATTTATTTACTCCATTTGTATACCGCATTTATCAGCCTGGAGCGGCGACTCAATGCGGTTTACAGTAAAAATAAACAGTGAACAATATATAAGACGTACATCGACAAACAATACACATAATCATCAACGCCTACTTAGAATCAGATCCCGTTCTCATAGTCCTTAATTCAATCCTTGTTCAATGCCGTCATTATTGGGGTGGTTGTTACTGCATAGCTAACCGAATGCCTGCTCATAGAGCCACGTCTTAACCCTCCTTCGAAACACCAGCAACGAAGGGGCCTGCCTGATGTCCACTGGTAACGCATTCCATAGCCGAGGGGCCACTACCGAGAAGGAGGATTACTCACCACTGAAGTTGCTTGAAATCATGTTGCCACAGTTTCTCACTTCATCAAATTTCATAAATATCGTTTGTAACCTGCAAAAAACACCACATATCAATATACATCGATATCAATTTCTTCACCCCAAATCAAAAAATTACAATTAAAATTACAACTTCAACGAATCTCCATTATTTTAAACATCTGAACAAAATGAATCATCAATACATGATCTCCTAGACTGTACTGAAACATAGTATGCTTTTGAAAAAGAGCACAGAAAGCAGAACAAGTACTTAAATATGGTAAAATGCATTCCTTAATTATAAATGAAATGTGTCAGATATGCAAAACTGTCTAATCTTTCTATCACATTCAATTCCCAATTATTCACACAAAACATACTCATTCTTGTATCGATCTTGAGTCAATCCATTCATTCCTGGACTTCCCCTTTGAAAGTTGTCCCCGGGTATTCCCCAATATTTGTTTTCCTGCTTGCTTGCCTTGTTCTTCTAAATATTCAAACCATTTTAGTCTCCGTGTCCTAATTTCAGCAACTAATGTTGGCTAGCTTCCTGGTGCCTGCTATTTCTAGAGCTTTCTAATCCTCCAGATGTTAGATTTGTTAATTCTTTTTTACGTAGTCTAAAACCTGTTACACTGATATATTATTTAAGATCCAGAGCCCAGCTTTAAAGGTAGAACTCCTTTAGCAATTGTGACAGAGTTCTAGATGCTCACAGAAAGCAGAATGTAGGGCAAGCTATATCCACTGAGCATTCCCAACTAAGTGGGAAACCATGTTCCATTGTCATTATATGATGCTTCAAATAATCAAGGTGCTTAGAAGTATAACTCTTCATAGCAAACTAATTTTTGTAATTTCCAGTGTCAAAATACAGGACATATTCAACTACTATAAATATTCAAAGACTTTGCAGCTACAGCACTTTCATCGTAACCTTGAATTCAAGTTGAATTTCTGAGTAATGGTTAACTTTAAACACAATATCAAAAGTAATACACACATGATTGGTAAACATTAAAAGTGTTAAAAGTATTTTTAAAAATCTTCAAAAAATTAGGGAGCAGGGAATAGACTCTTATTTAGAGAAGGCAATTTTCTGATCATATAAACAAGCAGAGTCTCAGCAAATTGTCTAAAAAGGCTTAGAAACACAATACTATCCAAGTTGTGGACCTGTGATCTTATCTTTAATTTAAAAACTCAATAATCAGAGCATTCTTGAGTCAATGTGTGAAACCTTCGGACTTGTCACATTCTACCTGTAATCAATGTTCCCAAGGACTGTGGAAGCCATTCACATCAGAGAGCTCAAATCCACTTTGCCTTTTTTTTTTAATGGAAGAGGAAATCTGAATCCTTAGTAGCTGGACTACCTTTACAAAAATGCGACCATTTGTTCTGCATGCCTAATGTGAGGTATCTGAAAGGAATATTTAGTTGAAATCTTAATATATCTGATTTGAATAATGAGTACAAGGCTGTGAGTAGTTAAAGGCTATTGAAGGATGTATCTGTTGTCATCGAAAGAGCTAATGTATTATCAGAGGGAATAGGACTCAGAGGTGGACAACAAAACTTTCCATTTTTTACATGGACCAAAAATGTTCTTGGGGAAAGTGTAACAGCCTGTCTCTACCTTTCTATTATCACAAAAGAATTGCAGAAATATTCCAGAGTAGTATTTTTTCTAAAATAACCAAACTGCAGTAATTATACTATCTACTATCCCCAATGATCTTTTTCACCACTCACTAAATAAAAGATGATGCTAAGGTCTCATAGTTTTGGGTTGTAGTAGGTTTTTTTGGGCTATATGACCATGTTCTAGAAGCATTCTCTCCTGACGTTTTGCCTGCATCTATGGCAAGCATCCTCAGAGGTAATGAGGTCTGTTGGAACTAGGAAAATGGGTTTATATATCTGTGGAATGACCAAGGTGGGACAAAGGACTAATGTCTGCTGGAGCTAGGTGTGACCACCTTGATTAGCATTTGATGGCCTGGCAGTGCCTGGGGCAATCTTTTGTTGAGAAGTGATTAGATGTCCCAGATTGTTTCCTCTCTGTTGTCTTGCTGTTGTAATTTTAGAGTTTTTTAATACCTGTAGCCAGATTTTGTTCATTTTCATGATTTTCTCCTTTCTGTTGAAATTGTCCACATGCTTGTGGATTTCAATGGCTTCTCTGTGTAGTCTGACATGGTGGTTGTTAGAATGGTCCAGCATTTCTGTGTTCTCAAATAATATGCTGTGTCCAGGTTGGTTCATCCGGTGCTCTGCTATGGCTGACTTCTCTGGTTGAAGTAGTCTGCAGTGCCTTTCATGTTCCTTGATTCGTGTTTGCGCGCTCATAGTTTTTATCACGCACACACCATTTATATGTGCATATGTATGGGTGCTTTTAAGTCATCTATTGACTTATGGTGACTCCATTAATTTCACAGAGTTTTCTTAGCAAATACTTAAATGTGGTTCTGCCACTTTGTTCCTCTGAAAATAGCCTACAGCACCTATTCGTTAGTTTTCCATCCAAGTACTAACCGGGATTTACCCTGTTTATCTTACAGGATCAGACAGAGTATGCAGACCTGTCTACCATATTCTCCTCTAGTAAATTTATGGACAGCACAAAAAAAGTTGGATTTTTTATTGCTGTCATCCATTTTAGTTCATCATGAGGAATTACATTTCATAGATCTTTCATCATAAATAGGTCAGATTAACAATCTCAGTTCCTGCCTCCAGTCTACAGATAGATGACTATGCTGAGAGCTAACACAGTTGACAATGATAGTAAACTATTCATTTTGCTTCTTACACAGTCCTTCGTAGTTAAAACTAAATGCATGAAAGGACACTCCCATCCAGTTAGCCTATGGAGCCTACTGTCTTTGAATTTGAAGCTGATAAATTCAGAGGCTGAGCGCCTGATTTCCAGATGCCCCAGGTCCCCCGGCAAAGATCACTTCTAACTAACCTACATATCTGTGTCATCCTTCTGTCTGGGAAAATTCAAGTCTTTTTTCCTTGGCTCATATTTGCAATGATAACTTAAGAATTCATGTTCTGCTCGAGGTATCAGTATTCCGGGGGGGGGGGGGGGATTCTGAAAGAAAAATTCTTTCAGAAATGTATATATAATTAATTACACCCACAGACATTTTTATTCATTTCACCAATGATGAACAGAAAAGGTTTGGAGGGTCCTTAAAATGTTATACTGCTGACATAAATTGTACTTTGCCATTTCATCCCATCAATTCAATTTCAATAAAGTGCAGGAAATCTAACATGGTTCATTTGAATTTCCATTGTAGACACTACAAAGAAATCTATGAATAACCAAATATGCACACATACAAAATTTTACATTATTATATTTAAACATTATACCATTAAAATAGTTAAATCAGCATTCAGAAAACAGACATATTATGGTGGAATTGTAAGTAGTCCTAATAAAGGTATTGTCTAACTGTACATTATGTTTTGTAATTATGGGATGTGGCAACCTTTGTTTTAAAATTCATTATTGGAAAGAAGTTATTGCAATCATGGTCTAGCCAAACAATTTTCAATTTACTTTCTAACTGTCCTATGAATAAATAATCTGATCCCAAAATTTAATCTAGAACCTCTAAAATAAAAATTTTCAGAGGTTTTTATTATAACCTGTCTTCTAATAAAGCTCCAATTATCTAGAATTAGAAGAACAAGGAGACAGGTGAGTTTGCTATTCACACCAAGTTATTCAAGGTCTAAAACAGTGGTTCTCAAAGAGTGCTCCGCAGGGCCCCTGGGACTCCACAAAGCATACTGAGGAGCTCCACATTTCCCTTCTCCCTTCTCCTTCTCCCTCTGAAAGGGCTCTGCACCTGAAAACGTTTGAGAACCCCTGGCCTAAAGGTTTGGAAAAGCGAATGTGAACTGCTTTAGAAGATTGACTCCAAAGTAAAAGTATGGAAAATAAAATGCGAAATCAGCTTCAGTACATGCAAAACAAGGCACATGTATGTGTGTCACGAATTAATATATGCAGTGATGGAGTTGAGCAGGAAATGACTGACTAGGAAAATGCTTTGGAATCAGTGAGAATACCTTAAAGAAAATACTATGTGTGTGGCTACTGTGAAAAGGGCAAAATCTATGCTGGGAAAACAGGAGAAGCAAGATATAAAAGTTCAATACTGTAAAGCTGTTAAATGAATCCATAATACTCAAGATTCTAGCCCCCAGTGATACAGTGGGTTAAACTGCTGAGCTGCTGAAGTTGCTGACCAAAAGGTTGGCAGTTCAAATTCGGGGAGCGTGTGAGTTCCTGCTTTTAGACTCAGCTTCTGCCAACCTAGCATGCAAATGTGAGTAGATCAATAGGTACTGCTTCAGCAGACAATTCCGGCTCTCCAGCTTAGAAATGGGAATGAGCACCACCTCCCAGAGTCAGGCACAACTAGACTTAATGTCAAAAGGAAACCTTTACCTTTTATTGTAGATTCTAAATAAAAGATCATGTAGTAGTGCTTTACATTTTAGATCAATACAACAGAAAAAAGTTGAAAGTGCCAAAATGAACAAATTATCTGTAGGAATCCCTCATGAGAAAAGTCTATAATGTTTGGAATTTACCAGCTGGGAAAAAGGAATTAAAAAGTGAGACTCTAATAAAGTCATATAACATTGTGCAACATATTGCAGGAGATGCGGTTTTCTAGCTCTTTTATAACAGTATAACTTATGATCATGCAATAAAAACTGCATGGTGGGACATTCAGTACAGGGGGGGGGGGGGGAACCAGGAGATGCCATCTACTGTGAGAAGGCATCACATGATCTTTATGGATGTCACCCCATAAAACCATATATAGAAGGGAAATCAAGAACAAATGGGGTGACTTATGAAATCTTTTGAAGTTAAAAAGTAATCCCTATAGAATAACAACAAAACACTAAATTTGGAAGATCTCAAATTTTAATAATAACCATAAAGGCAATTCAGTAAGGAATACAAGAACAATAAATATATATATAAGGGTGTAATTTTACTAAATTGGAAACTGAAATACAATG